GGCCTCTCTGCTGCCAGGGAATATCATCAATTTTATCCATTCTATAATCACACGTTTCTTCTGGAGGAGATAGGGGTTAGCAATAAAAACATCCAAAAATGGTATTCACCAGAAGGAAGAAAAGTATGAAACTGAGTTACCAATCTATGAACAACCCAGAACTTTCTATAAAAATAGGTATTCTAAGGCGTTAGGATTAAGCTATGGGAAAATAAATGAGTTAGAAGGAAATTAACTTAGTAGTCAATCCATTCTGGCAAACCACAGACTCATTTTGTCTTTAAACATAACCATAAGAAGAGAATGAGAAGAATTTTGGCTTTTCCATGAAACTGAGGATTATAGTTCATGAATACCAGGCAGCAAGCCTAAACTAAATGAAAGCCATCTTATCAAGACTTTTTCTTTTTCTATTTAATTTTATTTGCATTTTCAGAGGTGTTCATGGTACTTGGAAAAAATCCCTTCCTCTTTCCCTTGACCCAGCCTTAAATTATCATGGCTGGCCCTTTACTCAACTCAAATACACTAGATAATTGCTTACCCTTTGCACAGAGTATTATTTTGGAAGCAATAATTCTTTCTTAAAGCAATTTTAAACCACTAGAAGACTTACAACCAGTACAGTTTCAGTTCTGGGCCACAGCAGGAAGAAATGGGCTTTTATTAAATGGAAATGCACCGTTTTTGGAAACACCACAGTTACCGTTAAAATGTTGTTCTATTTCCCGCTTTTACAAATATGCCCAGAATTCATACTTCCATACATCTCACTTTAAAGAGCATTCCGGATTTTAGTTCTTGTGCTCTTGCAAACCAAAAATGTCTGCACAGAGGCCACAGGAGATTCTGCTACGGTTTCAGTGCGGATGCATCACAGAACGATGGAAGAGTAGTAGATCCACTAAACAGCTGGAGACATTTCTTCCAGGATGTGTCTAAAAGACGCTTAACCATTTCCAACCATATCTTTCCTTGCCTTAATCTCATCAAATGTAGAAAAGCGCCTTACTGGGAAAAAATTGTTTTTAACAATCTCATTGAAATTTAATTTTTTTTTTTAAAGATTGGCACCTGAGCTAACAACTGTTGCCAATCTTTTTTTTTTCTTTCTGCTTTTTTTCTCCCCAAATCCCCCCAGTACATAGCTGTATATTTTAGTTGTGGGTCCTTCTAGTTGTGGCACGTGGGACGCCACCTCAGCATGGCCTGATGAGTGATGCCATGTCCGCGCCCAGGATCCAAACAGGCGAAACCCTGGGCTGCCGCAGCGGAGCACGTGAACTTAACCACTTGGCTGCGGGGCCAGGCCCGAAATATAATTTATATGCCATAAAATTCAATCCTCTTATGTGTACAATCCAATGATTTTAAATATTTACTAAATTGCGCAACTACTACCATCATCCACTTTTGGAATGATTCCATTACCACTGTAAGATCCTTCCTCCCTTCCTGGGAAAATTTTAAGGTAGAATTCAGCTTCTGCTTTTATTACTCACGTTTCTCAACTGCAACCCTATCAGAATGTGCTGTCATATCCTTCAGCCTGGTACATCTACTCCTTAGAAAAGCCTGTTTGCAGAAAAGGGCCTAAAACATAGCAATTGTATTGACTTGTACATGATTACTCCTGTTCTAGAAATATGTGTATCCCCAAAGAAATGAAAGAGTTTTCCCCTTAAATATTCCCTTCTCTCAATAATCTCCGCTTTAGTAACTGGCAACGCCATTCTTTCTTCAGCAGTTTGTGACAAAAGAACTCTGGAGTCATTCTTGACATTAGTCATTTCCTGCAAGCCACTGGAAAGTCTTAAATTCCTATCAGATTTAGCTTTCCATCTGTATCCCCTAGTCGGTTCACTTCTGGCTTTATCCAAATGACCACCATTTTATTTTTCTTTTATTTATTTTTAGGAAGATTAGCCCTGAGCTAACATCTGTGCCCATCTTCCTCTACTTTATATGTGGGATGCCCACCACAGTATAGCTTGATAAGCAGTGTGTAGGTCCACACCCGGGATCCAAACCAGCAAACCCCAGGCCACTTAAGTGGAACGTGCGAACTTAACCACTGTGCCACCAGGCTGGCCCCAACTGACCACCATCTTTGACCAGGAATATTGCATTGGCTTCCCTACTTCTGCCTCCCCTCCCCTTTTGCCTGTTCTCAGCACAGCAGTCTGAGTGGTCCTACTCAAATCTAAGTCACATCATGCAGTGCTTTGCTCAACATCTCCCAGCCGCTCCCCTATCTAACTCAGAGTAAAAGCCATACTCTTTACAATGGCTATGAAGACCCAACAAATCCTCCTTCCTCTCAGTCTTCATCTTCCACTCCCTGCCCTGTCCCCTGCTCAGCCCTCAGGCTCCCCTGTGTTCTATGAATACTGCAAGCTCACTTCTGCCTCAGGACCTTGGCACCTACCATTTCCTGGGAATGCACTATCCTTCCTTCAGAAGGTTGCAAGGCTGACTCCTTCGCCTCCTTTGTACAAACATCTCTTTCTCAGCAAAACTGCTTTGGCCACTCTCCCTAAAACTTTTTAAAAAACATACCAAAAAAACCACCTCCTCCTCTACTCCTGGGTGCTAGTCTTTATTTTTCTTATTGTCAGTTATCACTATCCACCCTACCATACTTGAGTATTTTACTTATTAATTTATTTACCGCTTCCTCTCATCCTCAACTAGAATGAATGTGTGTGTGTGTGTTCCACAGGAACAGACGTTTTTGTCTTTTCATTCACTTATTACCCCCAGTGCCTAGAACAGTTCCCGACACGCAATAGGTGCTCAACAAGTATTTGTTGAATAAAAGAGCATGAAACATGCATGATAAAGACAAGCCAAAGACACAAAAAGGAAGTTATTTCCACCTCTGAGTTTGAGTTTTCCCAGGAAGGCAGGAAGGACCTCAGTGGGGTAACGGAATCCTTCCCAAATGGATGATGGTGATGCCTGCACAACTCAGTGAATACTCAAAATCACTGGACAGTACATTTAAGACGAAGGAATTTTATGAAATGTAAATTATATTTCAATAAGATTGTTAAAAATTGTTTTCCCAGTAAGGCACATTTCTACATTTGATGGGATTTGAGTAAGATGAGGAAAGATGTGGGACCATCTCATCCGCGGTTAAGTACCCTTTAGACACGTCCTGGGGGAATGTCTTCAACCGTTTAGTGGTCTATTACACTCCCAGCACTCTGTCATGAACCTTCACTGAAACCACAGAAGAATCTACTATGAATTCTGTGCAGATATTTTTGGTTTCCAAGAACTAAAGATTGGAATGCTCAAAGTTGGGCATATTTGTAAAAGCAGGACATAGAACATAGAATGGCATTTGAACGATAACTGCAATGTTTCCCAAAAAACCGGTGCATTTTCATTCAACAAAAGCTCATTTAAATTCGAGGGATGCACCTCTGATTCTAGACTATTAAGGTGCTCAGATAGATACACTAAGAAGTATTGGGACAGCACGGTCTTGCTATTTCCCCAGAATGGATGCCTCTTAGGAAGTTACAGCCACGACTGGCCCAGGGGACTGTCACAGGACCTCTGCTCAGATCCCACTCAACTCTTAAAGGTATTCAACAGCTGTCTCTAGAGGCTGGGAACCGGTTCTCTCTGATGTCTGAATTCTCAGCCTTTAGGGCACCAGACCAGATTCTGTAGGCAACTAAACAGATGGTAACACATTTTGACCACAATGTGCCTGGATCACATTTGAACCATGAAACTCAAGGTGAAGAGTTCTCAAGCCTTTTATTGCTCCTCACCTCCTAACTCACAATTAATTATTTATTTCACTTGCCTCTCTAAATCATCAGACCAGGTGGACACAGTCTTAAGACAAGGTTTGATGTCTTTATTTATAATTTCACTTTCAAGTCTGCTTAGTGTAATCGCCTCAGTGGGGGGACAAATGTACCTTTCCTTTCTTAAAAGGGCTTTTTAAAAGAAAGAGCTAAAAATCCACAACATGTACTGTAATAGAATCCAAATATTAAGTTATTTTGATTTCAAGTTTCCCACTTGAGACCTATGACTATGCAGAGAAGGGAGTGGTAAAATTATATAGTGAGAAATGGACAGATTAGCTGAAATATACACACTTTCCCAATCATGGAACAGAAATTGCAACTTATACAGCCAGTTCTAACTTTCCCATAATGAAAGACACATCACTGATGTTATGTCTTACATTATTCATCAATATCACAATGCATTTTGTTTAAAATAAATTTAAATCAGCTTCCACATAAGAGGATAACTCCTGATTAGTAAGTGAACAACCTGAGTAATCTCTGTCTATGAAACTGGATCTTGATGAGCAGCCAAGCAGATATATAATTAATTCATAAGGTGCACAGCCGTCTAAACACAATTGGAGAAATAAACATGGCGGTATTATTAACATCTAGTCGAATTATGTCCTTCAACTATCCCAGACTAAACTCACTACAAATGTAACACAGTTAGTATTCACTGGATTCCACAGAGATTTTAAAATAGCAATGAATTGGAACTGCAAAAAAATTATAGCCATATAAAGTGACTCAGGAGAGGTTTAACTTCTGGATGTCATGAAACAAAAGAGATTAATTCACTCTCAACAATCATTTTAAGAAATATGCCTAGTTCAAAGTGGCTCAAGCTAAACCTTTCTCTCCCCAAATTAAGTGAAAGGTGCTTGATGCAGAATATTGAGACACAGCCACAAGAGAAGTTGATGATGGAAAACCGCCACTTCAAAGTTGAGAAAAACCCCACTACGTTCTCTTCTGTGGCATCTCAAAGGCAAAAGCCCAGGGATGCGCTTCATCAGAGACTCACATGGAACCTTCAAATACATCTGGTCCCATTCGCTAAGAACAGCAAAGCCACCTGTTGGCCCACCAGAAATGTGAACATGGAGACACGATGAATCTGCACCCCATGTGTGTCCGGGAGGAAGAGGAGTGTCGGGGCAGGAAAGCGAGACTGACCTTTGGAGGAGCGGAAGTGTTTGCTGGGGGCGGTGAAGCCTCGAGTCCCATGGACGTTGACAGCCGCCACTCGGAACTGGTACCACCTGCTGGGTCGTATGTCAGTCAGTTGAACCCGCTCATCTGTGGTCTGAGGGGAGATGTCAAAGGGCACAGAGAACCTTTTATTGTGACATGGCAATCGGGTCTGTTTTAAAAATACACTAACTCATCGGCCAACGCAACACAGACTTGACCTCCCTCTACCTCTGCCCTTCTGGATACAGATCTCTGGAAGTCAAAACCTTATGAGAAATGCTTGGGCTATTTTTAAATCTGGTGACTAAACACAGCATTTGAGGGACTCAATCAATGAATTTTACATATGAGCAAATATATTAAATGAGCTAATTATTACATTACAGACAAGAAAATGAAATCTTTATAGAAAGAAGATGCCTCTTTAACTTGCACGACAAATGTAATTTTGGAAGTAGGTATAAGAACCCCCACACTTAGAGAAAGCTAACAATTTCTGGAAGTAAACTGCAACCCAAGACTCTTTTTTTTATTTGAGTAAATCACGTAACATAGGCAAGGACCCAGCTCTAGTCCTGAAGGGTGAGGTGTGGGAATATATCCTTGTCCAATAACATGTCCAAAGAAAAAAACTGGACACTGGGGAAGTTCCCTAGGTTTTGCTGTCTCTACTGCTGTAGTCCCAAGATATCAAATAACTTGAACAGTATTCGTACCTCCCCTCTTCATCAAGCTAAGGGAAAAGAGACCTACTTTCAACAATGATCTGTGCTAGATCTGAAAACCTTTGCCTCGGATTCCAAGGAATGAATGCCTACATTCTATGCCTCATCTAGGCCCAGGGTCAAACTCAACTTGGCACTCAGTGGATGAAACTGGGGAAGATTTGAATTGAATCCTTCCCAAACCCCAGTTTATAATAACTTATTGAAAAGAATTTTCACATTTATTTTAACATCTAAAAGAAGCTAAACATTTCTGAAATCAAAGGAAAAATATGAAGTCTTAAACATGGCTTTCTACCTCATTTGGCAGAAATTGAGACGACATTGTCACTGAGTTCATCATTTAGTTTTAGCCTTGAATTTAAAAGACTAAAGTCAGCATGACATCCACAGCATTTAGCAAAGTCATGAAGTATTACACGTGGTAACTAGCAAGAATAGGAATAATAATAATTCAAGATCTTTCCTCTTTCTAAAAAAGGGATGAAAGAGATGATCTTATCAGTTGCTTGCATAAACCTTTAAATAATTTGGAAAATTTACAAATGATATTGCACCATTGTTTAAGGGAGCACACTGTAAATCAAATAGAATTTTAGGCTGTATTCTGAATATCTTTATGTTTTACTAAAGTAATTTTTTTTTTACAAAATAGGTATGGAATAGAATTACTAAATTTATTTGACCAATTTTTTTTCCCTAATTTAAGATGTTTCTTTCACAGCAAACTTTTCATTTATTTTGGGGAGGGCTTTATTTTGTATCTTTGAGATACTAGTATTGAGAACAAAAACAAATTTCTCTTCCAAACACCTGAGTACTGAAATTTATTTTATATTTACTTAAGAAAATAATGGGAATCTTGTCCTTGGAGAAAAATGATCTGATCAACTTAAGGTGAGAATTCTTCCCGATAGACATACATGTGGAGAAAGCATTTTAGTCGTAGAAAAGCACAAGGCAGGTTCACATCGAGAATTTATTCTTTTTCGACCATGTAGTTTTCTTGCAGCTGCTAGTCCTTTTTGCAGCTCTTAAAAAGAAAGAAAACATTTTGCTTTTCTCATCCACACGACAGCAGAGGGAGAAGCACAGGTAAGACAAACTCTGGGAGTGCTGTGATCCAGGTGGCATATCAGTTTGTAAGTGGACTAAGACGAAGAAGAAAGCACTTAGCAAAGATTTATGAGCCGTTGGCCACTTCCTTCCCACTAAGTGGTTTTGTGATATGAATCTTACTCCACGCTCCTAAAGTCCTTGTGTAAATGTAGGAGAAACAGACAAGAAGACATTGAGCTGATCAAATATCATATTAACTAGTCCAAACACGGCTGCATTTCTCTTACTCTGGTTGGTTTTAAGTTTACTTCAAGGAAATATAGTTCTTGGAAGAAACAAATGTGAACACTCAGCTTAGAAAATTTTCTCCCTTCCACATGTACTTCGAGCAAATTAAGCCAAGAGTTTCTAGTTGTAGCGGGTGGTACCTACAGAGCTCATCCTGTCTTCCGCAGATATGATATGCGTGATATTCCCACATCTGATTAAGTGATTGCGGTAGTCAGGCTATTTTGACTGAGGCATATCAAGTTAATTTTCTATCTGTAGGTGTGTAGGTAGACATCACCTCAAGGGGAAAAAAGTCTATGAAGCACTCACCTGCGCTACTGTCTGCCAATGTGTGGCATCGTCTTCACTAGGATGGATTCCATAATTCCATCTTCTTTGTACCACGTAGATCACAGGCTCAATTGAAATATTGAATTTCGAGGACCACTTAATCTCCAGCTGTCCAGATTGCAGTTCTGTAAATCGTAACTCTTTCCTGGGCTTCAGGGGGACACCTGAAACAGGACCACGTCAATTAAAACAATCTGTGTGTGACTCAAGTGAGGTGAAAGTTGAGGAAGAAAATCTATAGAGGAGATGAATCCCATCTGATGATAACCAATACTCTACTTCCTTTCATAAAAGTGGCCTCTCCATATTAGGGTTTCACATTTGAACTATTCTGACACTAACTTCAGTTTAGCTGTCCCATTTTTTTTAAAGGGTCTAAATTGATTCCTGATTCTGAACAAGTTTTTTCCTCCCAGTCATCTCGAGAGCAATTCTTTTATGTGCATTCTTCTAAATGTTACCAAGTTGCATCACCTGAGGTTAACATGGAATGCACACAAGGTGAGAGTCATAAAGAGTTTCAAGGCTTTTTTCCCATTCAACATACTCTGTTTCTACTGATAGATTCCAAGGTCATTATAATGTGGTTCCCAAGTTTACTCTCCTTTCTATCTCAGGGAGTTTTCCTTTTAAGGAAAACATTTTAAAGCTCAATCCTCTCATGTGGTCAAATCTTACAAGAATGATTTCCAAAGCATGAGGCTTGTGGATTCCCCAGTTGATTGCTGGGGCTCTCTCCTATAGACTTACAGTTTAAAATTGGAAAATGATGAATTTATAACGTTTGGTTTTGGCATGAGTGAGTGCCTTGCTTCAAAAGTCCCTCACAGGTGTCTCATTTTAAAGTAGTTAATCATTCTGATTGCTTTTCCCCCTACAGTGCGTGCAAGTTGTCTGGTGACTGAAAGATTTAAGAACCATGGTTCAAAATAGTAGCCATTATGGAAACAGAATTTTAAAACAAATTTGTAATCCTAATAGGATTATGTAAAACTAACTGAATTAGGTACAGTCTACGTGACCATGATGTTCAATGCCATCAAGACCAAGAACACCAGTTGCCATTAATATCATTTTCTGTTGAGAATGAACATTTGCCTAAAGCATTGACTACTCATTTGAAAAAGTTTAGTTCACAATGCTCTATTTCTTTCTTTTTATTTTTAAAGATTGGCACCTGAGCTAACATGTGTTGCCAATCTTTTTTCTTTTTTTTTCCTCTTCTCTCCAAAGCCCCCTAGTACATACTCATATATTCTGGTTGTAGGTCCTTCTGGCTCTGCTGTGTGGGACGCCGCCTCAGTGTGGCCTGATGAGGGGCGCTAAGTCCGCGCCCAGGATCCAAACTGGTGAAATCCTGGGCCGCTGAGGCAGAGCGCACCAACTTAACCACTTGGACAGGGCGCCAGCCCCCAGAATGCTCTGTTTCTTTTACCATTTTTTAAATTTAAACAGAGAGGAAACTGGAAAATGTGCAAATACATTTGCAAAATGTACACTGAAAATTCAAAATGTACATTTCAAAAATGTAAATTACATTTGCCAAATGTAAATAAGACCTGAAGCACATTAGTGACATGGCTGAATTTCAACTCATTTCGTTTTGATCTTAATTCAATCTACGTCTTGTTTTGAGAAATTTAAAAAAGTCATTAAACATTTAGGTGGATGGAGTTGGATAATGTAAAGATGGCATATTTATATCTGCTCAATAGGTCACTGATTTTTAAAAACCATTTTCTAGAGAACACATTCACCATACCCACAGCATTCTCCGTTTTGATTTGCTGATGGCTTATATCTGTAGATTGCCCTTTACTTTACCATGAAGTTGTCCCACCTGGTCCTTACTGTGACTTCATGGCGTGCGTGAAGGGTAAAGTATCTACATTCAGAACATTAGGGAACTGAGTCTGAGGAAGAATAAGTCTCCTGGAGCTATGATCTGATCTGAGGTTTCTCTCTAAATTTTCTGCTTCTTGCCACATTTTGAATTAGGAAAAGCCACTTAGAAAGGCAGACAAAAGAGATGGTTTTCACAGATCTGCAAATCCCTTGGACATTCTGATTCTAGTGTCCTTGCTGCTCCTGGTCAGCATGGGACTTCTCTCAGGTAGTCCGTGCTCCTGTTTGGTCACTAGAGGAGTGTTTTTCAAGCTTGTGTCATAAGCTTTTCCTCTTGGTGCATAACCTTACAGTGGGGGTTACATTCACTCTCACGACTAGAATACTTCTGCTAAGCAAGTCATTCTCAAACCTGTCCCCATACCCTCTCTGAGCTGCAGGCCCCCGGGTCCACCTGCCCCCCGAACGAATTTGCAAAAGTCCCAGCTCAAATGCCTCTCCCTGAATGTGCCCCCCCCCCCCCACCACCCCGGTGACATATACAGATTCACGGCAACTCCACACTTTTGGATATCTAAGGGATCTTTGGACTTGTTCTCGCACCTACCAACATCTTGTTGTTTTACTGCACTGTATGATTTTAGGAATTCCCAAATCATTCTGTCTCCATGGCGACCGCCCAACCTAGGCCCTTCAGTTCCGTCTGGACCTTCACAATAGCCTTCCAAAGCCTCTCCCTGCACATCACTCTCTCTTCTCTCATTCCCTCTTCTCAGTATTTTGTGCTTATTCTCCTAGTATAGAGCAGAGATTCTCTCCTTCACCTTCTCACACTCCTAAGTTACATCCCGTTTTTCATAGAATGAAGGGAAACCCCTCTGCATCTCATTCAAGGCATCCATCTTTATCAGCTACTACCAGTTACCTTGCAATTTATCTCCTCTATGAACATTTTACCTATTCGTCACACAGCCTACCTTTCAACCCAGCTTTTCTAGAAGCACACCACCAGGTACTTTCTACTACCATGGAATGCTTATGGGTTTTTTTGGTTTGTTTTTCACTCTGAAACGTCTTTCCTTCTATTTTCTGACTATAGATCCTTGAATACTTCCAGGCTCAGTCCAAATGCCACCCCTCTGAGCCACTTTCCCTAAACCTCCCAATTGGAAATAAAGGCTCCATTCTTCTGCACCCCTCCAACGTTTAGCCTCTAAGTGTCAAGACGTGCATTTAACTGCCTCTTACTGCAGCAAGCTCATTTAATGATGTCTGTCTTCCCCACTAAGGCATGGCCCCCAGAGGTCAAGAAACGTGTCTCCTTCACTCCCACACCTCACGACGTGCCCGTAGAGAACACTCTGCAATAGCAAACGTTCAGTAAACGTTTGCTGAAGGAACAGTCTACCCCGCCTTCTTATATTCACTGGGGAAATAAGAGGGTACTGGAACATTGACACAAATCTTTGCGGCAGCGCCAAACCGCTCTCTGCTGGAGAGTCGCTCAGGGAAGAGAGAAGACTGATCACAGAGACTCCGCGCTGCCTTCGGAATCATGTATGGTTCGAAGGCAGGAACGTTTCTCTTTTCCTCCAAGGTCATATTACTCCAACATTTGTTTACTCTTACTTTGCTAAAAGGTAAATACTAAATAATGAATAAATCAATATTAAGTTTACAAGATGCAACAGTTTCATTGCATTGAAAGTAGAACTTTCTCACTTAAAAAAACGACATTCCTGATATAATGGAAATCTCAAAGTTAATTGATAATAGGTTTTAATCTAGAAGTAGCTCTCTATTCTTTTTAAGTCAAGAAAAAAGCCACCAGAATTTGTTCAGAGTGATGACAAACCAATCTCGACGTAACAACTGGTTTGTATCATTCTCTCATTCCAGCTGGGCCAGTGGGCAGAAGACAAATGCTTCCACTGAGGAGGTCAGCACATACGGAAAGAGTAGCCTCTGAGAACACTGCTCGATTCACTTGACTTCTTTGTGCACGGTAAAGAGATGAGCGGTTGGTTCTTGAAACTCATAGAGCATTCTCTGAGACTTCCAAATCCATCTTTCTTCCTGGCTCTTCCATGTATGATCCTCTAGCATAAATGCAGCTACAGTGAATACTCTAGCCGCTGAAGTAAGCTGAACTCATCAGAAGCGAACCCAAGCATCCGAATCCCCTTGCTACAAGGTTTTAAGCTTGAATATCATTCAACTACCAAGAGCCTTAATGGAGCATAATGAGCATCAGGGCGATGTCAGTTCAAATTTCTTTATTTAAAAATCTCTTTAATTATCATGTACAATAATCTTGCAATTTGCATGTTAAGAAATGGTCCATCTGCTTTGCATTAGGGTCAGCTGGCTCCCTTGATTGGCAGTAACTCCAGCACTTGGCTGTAATTGTGTGCAGATGGGTCTCGTCCCCCAGACCTCCAGCCCCCGCTGTCAGTCCTTCCACACAGTCCTCGTTAGCTCAAGCAGCATCCCAACTGCATAACCAGATGTGTAGAATGGATCTCTCCTCAGTGTTTTTTATTATGTCAATGACTCGAATTGTTCTTTTTTTTTTTATTATTTTTGAACAAATTAGTCATCTGAAATCTAAACTATTCTGTTAAAAAATTCAAAAATGCTATCGTATAACATCCCACAATATAGGTGCATTTTTTTCCCTTTTAAAGTGTAACAAGTATTTTCGTGCAATCAAAGGAACAGAAACCCAAAGCTTTAAAAAATGTTGAAAAGATACTGATAGAAAAATCAATGACGATAGATAATCAGCAGTTGCAAATCACCATGAGATTTGATTATTCATGTAAAAATATTTGCCATGAGTCTAAATATTAAGAAAATGTAGCAAGACAGTGTTCCAATGATTCGATAATTAATCAGTATTTATTATCGCTCATAAAGATAATCAGCAATCAAGGAATTTGTGTTTCCATCTTATTAAGGCATTGGGTCACTGTATTCAAAATGTTTGAGGATAATTTGCGAAAAGTGGTATTAGTCCATCTCTAAAGGCCTGAAGTTTAAACACTTCAAATATTAAAGTATTCATGAAAATATTAAATCAACTCCATCATCAGATCTTTTCGAAAAGAAACAAACTGATATATGATTAATTCTTGGTTGTGCATGGTAACCGAAAGCCACAGATTAACCTGAATCTTTACATTTGGAAAACAATTTCACCCTTTCTCTTTCTGTGCCCAAACCAATTGGGCCACCGCTGGGAGTCTGGAGAGGCAGTAGTTTCGGCAGTAAAATAATAAAGCATATAACTTCTGGAGGGAGGAGAGTCTAACGAAGCTGTAAATCAGACTTAAAAGAGGCAAGGGTGGGATGCAAAGGGAAAATAAATGCCCCAGGGTGCGATCATTTCTGTTTTACCTGTGGAAGATCAGCCTCTTAAACTTTCCACAATGATACTGAAGTTTGCATTCCCCAGAACTAGCACCTTCAGGGGTCAGTTTGCCATGTTAACATTTTCAAGTCTTCTAGGATGCTGCGAATAATCCTCTTCATTTGAAGGATGAGGGGAAAGCTCTCTGTTGTTTTCCTTTGACTGTTTCAAACTATAAACCTGGTCTGTAAAGCTAACTTGGCGGCATCAGCTAAGGATAGTTCTTACAGCATAACCTAAATTAAGTGCTCAAACAGATTGGAGTATTGGGTTGATCATCTTTTCAACACACACATTGTTTTTAAAAACTCAAGTGTCTAGCATATAAAGCTCTTGAAGCTATAAAGTCAGCACACCTTGACCTCAATCTTCCCTTCCACAAACATAGGAGACCAAACAGAAAGTATGTATGTTTCCATACATTCTTTTTAAGTTTAATTAACCCAATAAGCAATAAAAGGATAAATAGGACAGGGTTGGTGTGTATCAATTTATTGCAAAAGTTCAGAAAATGACTGGTCCTCTTAAATGAGTACTGTGTGCATTACCACCTTGATAAGGAACTACTGGATGGGTGGAGGTTGGTGTCACATTGATTTTGTCCCCAGTGCCCAGTACAAATCATAACAAATGTTGGAGGCTCCTAATAACTCCTAACAGTCATCAATAAATATTTATTGAACTGAAATGTATCAGTATTTGTAGATCCAGGTGACAGCAGTCCCGTTGAAACTCTAAATGGTGAAAACATTAAGAAAATGGTCTTCAGGATTTCCAAACAGCAACTACCTGTGAGAGGACACTTTAATAAGTAATAATCAATGAATGAGAAGGACATGAGGAACTTACAGGTTTTCGGTATTTGTCCAATAGAATCTGGTTCTTCATAAGGCATACTTTATATCTAATTTAGATACTTTAACTCTACAAATTAGTTGACAATTAAGTTCAAAGAAAAAAATTTCCATGTTATTCATTAGCCTAAAACACCGGATAAACCAGTGATTTTATTAGATTAAAAATATTTGATATTGATATATCTTTTAATTGACCTATAATAATACAGTGATGCCAAAGAGAGCTTGAAGTTCAGGGTCTTTCTATGTAGTTGGATGGAGTCACAATAAACACGACAGGAGAGCTGGCCTAGGTGGGAACGGGGCTTAGATGCATTTCTGCTCCCAACTACCAAACCACCTTAGACCCAAGAGCAGGACTAGTCCATGCCCACCAACGCTGGGGCTCCCTCCCTCTTCCTCAGGAAAAGCTTGCACAGACCCAGAGGAAGCAGAGAGAGGAGGAGGAGCTTATTTCACACCAGTTTGTTGTGGTCACTAAGAGGACAATTTGGTAAGAAGGATGCTGCCTGCTGGTACTCCAAAGAGTGCTGAGGTTGATTTGTTGCATGCTGTGTGGCTGGGTATGTGTTTTTATCCTCAAAAAGCCAAGAGTTGAGTCAGAAAGGATGCTTTCCCAGAGAGCCTGGGGCCATCGGCACCATGATCCTCTTTTGAGAGTGAGCAAGCAGTTTGACTCCTGGTCAAGAATGCGATCAGGGACCCCGAGTGTCTAATAATTAGCTCAGGTTGTCATTGAAAGGATCACAACAAGCTCTACTGGAGCCCCCTCTTGGTTACACATGCTCACTCACTCCTTGGTGCTGTCAAACCCTCCCAGGACATGGAAGCCAGCCTGCCTTCAGGGGCTACCGAAGAGAGCAAGGGAAAAATATCGACGTGTATATATATATTTTTTCAAAATGACACTATATTATCCTTATGCTCATTATACAAAAGTCACTGTCAGGCGAACAGAGTCTGTTTATTCTACTTGTGGTTAGTGCTCCATGAATTGCCTCTCTCTGCAAAAATCTAAGTGAGGAGCTACTTTGTAGTAGAAGAGTGACTTTAGCGCTTCAAAAAAAAGATCCATCACATTTAGTTAAGCAGAGGTCTAAATTGCAAGTATCTTTTAATAATTAATCATTTATGTTAGCCCTTTGTAGAATATTTCCCTTATTCTCAGTGAACCAGGTAAACCTGAAATTCATACTGACTTTTCAATGCTTTTTTATAAAAAGCATATTTTAATCTATATTCCCTCTTTAAAATGCCCTACTTTTAAAACACTACAGGTTTTACAAATGAGTTTTCAACAATCCTTCTAAAAGCATCCTATTTTTCTGGTAAATACCAATATTTACATAGCAAATGATCTATAATAACAGAAAAGTTTTCACGATAATAGACATTAAAAAAATTAAATGGTGTTACATTTTGCAAAAGTGATTTTATGTAGTTTATAATAAGAGGCATGAAAACAACAAAACTTTAAATCCATTAAAGAAATGTTACTCAGTACAAAGGGGAAAGTGGCAATTATTTTGAATTAGAGAAGTAATATTTATGCCAGGTTTCCAAGGATCCAGGAAAAAAAAAAAAAGGAAAGCTGGATGGATTACACAGATTTCAGATGAGAGTATTTCCAGGTGAGAGGAGAGGAGACGGAGCAGGTATGTGACTTCGGGAGACGTGAATTGTAATAAGGGTAAGAACGGACTTCTGAAAACAGCCAGCACATAAGTCAAAACCAGCATTGCTGGTCAATACTGCTTTATACACAGTTTTTTTTAAAAAAGCTTACCTATGTTTAGAAATAATATATATTTTGTGCGTGTGAGTGAACGTAAGAGAGAGAGAGAGAGAGTGACAGAGAGGAATGTAGACTATCACATCTGCTAAACTGTTTGATAAACTGAATCCCCATCTTTTGGAAGAGGGCAATTCCTCCATCTAGGATCTCAAGACACTAATCAAAATATTTAAAGTACATACAAGGACACTTCTGTTCTTGGATTACACCAACAGAAAAATCACAGTACTGGGGCATGTATTATGCATTTTTCAAGTGTGTCCCATCCCCAGCCTGTTTCCAAGGATTTAAATCTATTTATTCCAATGTACCCTGTGGAGTTCAATGGATTTATTCTTACTGGAGAAAAACGCAAAAAAGTTCCTGAATTGATGCTCTTCTTCCTACATGCTAAATTTTAAAAAAATTAACATGAATGATTTGCTCTTCCCCAATATGAGTTCATTGTGGCTGAAATCTATGGCCCATTAATATTTCCAGATGTTTGCATATGGTGCAAATTACATTTTCTTAAAGTTTTGTCTTTTTTTGCAATGGTGACGTCTTTGATTGACACCCTTCCCCCGTGCACACACAAACCCCTGCGAGGGTGAAGGTCCCTTCACATCCTTGCCTTGCTCTTTACCTTTGTACAGCGTCTTGGGCACCTGGCAGGTGTGTCCACATCCATTCGAACAACATTTCTTAACCCCAGAGCACTCGTTGTCAACTTCGCAACTTTCAACACAGGCGGCGGCGAATCCGCTGGCTTTCTCCGGAGCGGGGCAATCCCCCTGCTTCACCGACAGGATGTACTTGAGGAACTCACAGCTCGTCAGGCATTCGTAGTTCTTCTTGGGGAACAGAGGCTAGGGGAGAACAGAAAAACTTCTTCCTTAAAGATGACACATGAGGTCTGATTTCCACGACATTGGAAAGAAAGGTCAAAACTCTCATTTTGTCAAAATTTCCCTTGAATCTTTTACAAAATAAATGTATTTTCTTTGTTCCCCCTAAAGAAGTAATATTTTATGCTAATTTCCTAAAGGGATATGACCCATGAGTTGTAACTTTTATTACATGCAACAGATACATATCAGTTATACACACACATTCACAGGTTGCATTCTGAGTTCAGAAACACTTGTCAAATAATCGATTACAGATATTCAAAAAACATGTTAGGTCCAATTTGAAGGGCCTTTTTAGACTACTGTGTACATACATATATTTTCTTTCTCTAATGAGTCATTCTTATTTTTATTTCATATCCTGTAAATACTAATCAAAAGAGGTTAGCTGTCGCCCTATGGAACCATTACAATTCTCACAGCAGTAACACATGTATTGATATTTCATCAAAAAGTGGTCTAAGCCTCAGTTAACTGAACATATTTTACTAGCATCCAGTTTTTAGAATTAATGTGCACGTGGGATCTCTTATCACTGTGGAAGTGTCAATGGGTTGTGCAGTAAGAGAACGTGAATTGTCTTTCAAAGCCAAGGCACACATATTTGTCTGTGATGTGGTGTCAAATTCTGAAAAGCATCTAGCTAATGACATTTTGCTTGAGCCCAGAATCAATCAAACGTTAGTGAGAACAGTATTTCTTGACTTATTAGGGGGGCGCATTATCAAAAAAGCACGAGTCATGGAAAGAATCATTTATCAAACGTATCTTTTTTGCTTGGACAAAATGGTTTAGGACAGCACCTGGTCATCCCTAGGACATGAGCTGCAATGTGAAGAGGGAGCTGCTGAGGCCCTGACAGCAGCCTCACCCAGGGGAAGAAAGGGAACAGCACTGTCCCTGCTCTGGACCTCCTTTTGCATTGGGAAGACGGCTGCCAGGACAATCGCCATAATCCTAACTTTCGCCCTAACCTTCCTTTTGCTTTTATGAAGGTGCTTGCCAAGATAGCTACTCTAATCCTAACCCTGTCCCTCCAACCCTATTTTCCCTGCAACACACCTGTCCAGCCAGGTAAAATCCCCAGCCCTCTGTTTACCCCTTTGTAGAAGTGGCCGCGTTGTCACTGATGGGAAGTTCCGTGCCACGGTGAGCCTAGGCTTTTAGGCAGTGGGGATGGCACTCCCACATCCACCTTCTCCCCTTCTGGCTGGCTTTGGGCGATGCCACAGCCCTGGACGATGGTAGAACCACAAAAGGAAAGACAGCAGGACGCAGCATGACACATGGAGAAGAGCACCCTGCCACGCAGCCTGCCTTGAGCTGCTCCGTGCGCACAGAGTGAACCCGCATGGCTTCAAACTCCTGAACAGCTTGGGCTCTGTTTGTGATGACAGTTCAGTCTGCCCTAACCAATGAAGACCCATGTCTGAGAGTGATTCCCATGAACGCCTGTCGGAGCTGCTTGACATTGGAAGCAGGAGACGAACAAGGAAGGCGCTTTCTGTTTATTATTTGATGTCAAATCAGAGCCAGTGATGTCAGCAATAAATGTGGTAGCATTGGTGAACACAAACCCGGGGGAGAATGCAAGCATCATATGTGGCTGACTGCCAGCATGCTGCCTGCTGCTCCATACGGACGCCAAACCACGATTCATCGTTGGTAGCGCCTGGTGACACCTGGGGAACACCTGAAGAATACCTGGTAACACTTGCCAGTGGACTGCCTGCTGCTCCTCACTGATGACTTGAATATGGTCCTCTACCATGTGGCGACAGCTGGGTAACATCTACTAACACCTACTACCTGTAACACCTGGGCAACACCTGGCATGACCTGAGCACGTGCTGCCTGTTGCTTCTCAGTAATGACCAAATAGGGCTCTTGACTGTCTGGTGACACCGGGTAACATCTGCCAGCATGCTGCCTGCCACTCCTCACTGATGATGGAGTATGACCCTCTACTCAGATAGGTAACACGTAGGTAACCTGGCAGGAGACAGGCTTAGCGATTGGTTAGGGCTGTTAATGAGAGGGCATTTCACACAATGGTAGAGGTATGTTAAGGGAAAAAAAAAGGAAAGAAAAACCCTCACCATTATCAAAGTCCCTGGTTTGGGGAGTGGGGAGGAGAGAAAGATAGGAATGTCTCTAAGTCTTTCCCCAAAAGAGGGTTAATTATAGCCTATTATTTCTCACATTGATGATCACTGGAAATGCCATTGATAACCCAAAACATGAGAACTTCAGCAAGGACATATCCCAGTAACCCCTGGATGACTACTACACCAGCACAGATTGTTCTCGCATGCTTCTCCTGGTTCTTTTCCCCAAACGACATTGAGTTAATAATCTGCGTAAGAGTTAAGGCGGTAAATGTGATATTGTGTATATCTTACCACAATTAAAAAAGAATCTGTGTAAGAACTAGAAATCTGTAGATTCCTTGAGGACGCATACAGCGTCAAGCAGTGCTGTTCTCTTATAGCCACAAGAGTTTTTCTGATATTGTCAATTTAATGCACGTCAAGGCATCAAATCTCTACGACAATTAAATACGAGGGAAAGATTTCATACTCTTAGATTAATGAACAGAGGGAGAAAAACTAGAAACACTAGCTAGAAAAAGTATCATTCCAAGGTGTGAATTAGAATTGTAGATGTCAAATGAAATGGACTGTTAATAATTAATCATATACAAAATTTGAAAATAACATGAATTGACGGGATTGAAATAGTGTCTCAATTTAAGAACTTTCCAGGTAAAACTTAGAAGGCAGGCCCTGGTTTCAATATTGAATTACCACAAATTTGTAGCTAGTTAATTAAAGAAAACCCAAAACTTTCTAAACATTGAAGGCATCATCAGTTCTTGAGGCTTTTCTCTCTTCCTCAGTTTCATAGTTCATTTTTCTGTTAGCTGCTATATGTATTTTACTTCATTGGCTTTTGAAGTTCTAAATTTAGGTCAAAACCTAAGTGAGCAATCAGAGAAGTATGTGAAGGGGTCTGTGACAATTATGGAGTGTTTGCCAGCTTTCTTCTTTCAACAAAATGTACACATTACGCGCACTAAAAGAAAATACTTAGTTAGTAAAATCACTGGCCTTTGCCACACAAGCTGAGATTTCCAAGTAGAAATAATTTTATTAAATCTGACAAGTGTTTACTGCTTGCTAACTTGGAAATCACAGTGACTGAGTTTGCACCATGCTATAATCAAATTAATGCAGTTTCAACTTCTTCACATATGAAAATAGGGTATGAGTCAGGCATCGGGTAACAATGCCTGGACTCTCTGTTCATGTGTTACTCTCATCACCCATGTGCCAACCACCACACCCCGGAACTGGGAGGGAGAGCAGAGGTACCTCCTCATCTTAATAACTTACTTACTGAGCTGTGAGGCAGAATTAAAAACAAATAAACAAAAACAGTGGCCTACACAGATCTGAAACATGCGTTCCCAATGAGCATAAACGAACGATCATACTAGCCCCACAAGCTACACCTTCCAGTGGAGGTGAGAGTGGTTCAATATTCTTCCTTTTTGGTATGGATTCTAAAATGTGATTTTGGGGGGATTATTTTGAGGACCATGGAAACAAAAAAACGTTCATCTTTGCACTGGAGTTTTCTAGACGGGTATACGAGCTCAGAATAATAGAAATAATGTTATGAATATTACGTGAGATTGTGCAAGCAAAGAACTTAGCACTATTGTGCAGGGTTGGCCCACAACAGGTACTCAACAGAAATAGAGTAACTGGCGTCTTTTTCTTTTCCCACTGCTACAAGTTTACTGTTTAACCTTTCCAGATCCTTCGGTTATTCTGACAAAAATTGTTCTAAGATCCAAAGACTGGAGGTTGGCTCTGCTTCTTCTACAGTGTGACCATCCACAAGTTTCCAACAGACTACTGAAATCTGCATAGAATGAACTGGGCCCTGTTGGAATTTATAAGAAGGAAACAGTCTAAGTTTTTAATGAAGATCATTTTACAAATACATGGATTTGGCTCAGTAATCTTACAGAGGAGTTCTATTTAGCTGTTCTATGGTTTATACTTACTGAAGGCAATTTTTGATGTTCTCTGTTAATTATCTTGGATAATTATCTTGGATTAGGTTGAAAAATATTAATGGTCTGAATATAAATTAGAGAACATATGGTATCTGGACACAAGGTTTCTCACTAGGTCTTTAATCGTAGCTTAATGAGAATTTACCAGTTGAATGGAATAAGGACAAAAATGCACACAGGTCAGAGAAAATGACGTGTGAATATTAATACTCTAGACATAAAGAAAATGTGTAAATTGGTCCCCTAATAGCCAGTTGGAAATCCTGTGAACAAAAGGTCATTTGGAGGCCAGAAAAGAAAGTTCTGACCAGTAAGCATGTAATATTTCCTGTGATATCACCAGTTAATTCCTCCTAGACTTGTCAAGAGGAATGTGAAAATTTCAGGAAAGGTGTGAGTTTTCCAAATCATTATGAGTATAATACCCATCGACTTCATGGTAAATGAAAACCCATGTGGCAACACAGATGTATGTGCTAAATGCTGTACTTCTTGTTTATACAATTATATCCAGTCTATTCAGGCAAATTATTAATTGTAAAGTTAATGTAACTACCATTCCTTTATAAAACTATTCATATGAACAATTTCACAAATCACACAAATGGCAATCTTATGCCAGGTCATTGGCTCCAATTTAAATTTGGAAAAATCATAATTACTAAACTCATTAATTTTTGTTCTTCTTATATAGTTAACTCTTATAATCTCGCCTACATGTCATCTCTTAACTAAGAAACTAAAACGTGTTTTTTAGTGCCTTACCCGGACAAAGTGCTAAGCAAAACTTTCCCATGGCAAATGATAAAAATAAAATGAAATACTAACAGTAGTGGGTAACAGTTCTTGGATGCTTTCAAAAAGGATACTA